GTAACTCTGTCTCAAAAAAAAAATTAAATTAAAAAAAATGAAACTCAAATACATTCCTGACACACAGTGCAACTGAAACCCTTAAAACTTGGAATTCAAAAAATCTGCAAACACCATTGTGGTATTTTTTTATTTAAAAGAGAAAAAAGAAGTAAAAGTTATTTATTGCACAGTGGTTATCAGGAATGCTTCTGGCTTATGAGAGCAAGTTTTGCCAGAGTCCAGATTGGAGGAGATAAAAGCAGATTCTCAAGACATTTATGGCCTTTTTCTGAGGAATTGAGAGGTTGACGACCTTAAACTATTTGCAGTGTCAATTTTTATGGCTTTCATTTTCTTTCGTGTAAGTAGACCTGTCACCTGTTCACTGCCTTATAAGCCTTGATGAGGGTCTTTCAGCAACACTTCAACGTAGAACAATGAAGGATGAAGACCTGGTTGGCTGTGGCCGGGTGAGCCCTCCCTCCATGACACCCCAAAACACTCAGGGTCCCTGGGTCCTGATGTGACCTCCATCCCTCAGCCTCCTCCTCCTTCACGCTACAAGTGATCATAGCCCAGTCCTCCACTGCATCAGTCGGGGTTGCCCGGAGAATCAGAACCAATAGGATATGTATGGATACATAAGAGGAGATTATTATGGAATTGGCTGTCGTGGTTATCAGGACCAAGAATCCTACAATCTACCGTCTACAAGCTGGAGACCCAGGAAAGCCAGTGGGGTGACTCAGCCTGATTCCAAAGGCCTAAGAGCCAGAGCAGGTGGGAGAGGAGTCTCTGGTCTACGTCCTAGCATCGGAGGCCCTGGAATAAGGAGCTCTGGTGTCCTAGAGCAGGAGGAGATGGATGGCTCATCTCAGGAAGAGAGAGAGAGGGACTCTGCCCTTCCTGCACCTTGTTCTATCCAGACCCTCAATAAATTGGTTGATGGGCATTTTCATAGCAGGGATCATTGCTGTAAGCTGCCCTAAAAGTCCAGAAAGTGACTTTAAAAGTTGGTCTTCTCACCTTTAGCTGTTAAAGACAGAGGACCAGCCAGCCAATTGCTAAAGACCTGGCTCTTTGGGTTAGGGATTCCTTTCCCCACTGTTCCTGTGGCCCAGCCACGCTTACCTGTGACAGTGTTGAGTTGGGACAGGACTCTTTCCTTGGCTCTTTGGAATGACTGTGCTATGGGAGGCAGAGCTTTCTTTAATAGAACTAAGCACAGAGGAAATTGGGAGATGTCAGCTGAAGAGGGGGATGGATAGAGGAGGAAGAGAAGGAAGTTCCTGTTGCTACGAGGGTCTCAGGCAGCAGGAGGACTATAGCAAGACACTGGTTCTCAATTTTGAGTTTTCATTATCCTTTGATGAAAACTTGTGGACTTTCTCTCCGAGACAAGCACGTACACAGAATAGGTTGCACATGGACCCCTTCCTCCCCTCTACTCCCGGAAGTAACATTTGCACCCAAGTTGAGGCCCTCTGAGCTAAGGAAAAGATCACACCAGAAGTTCTGATCACTGGGGAATAGGGAAGAATTCAAGTGAGCCATCACCTTCAAAAAATAATAGAATAAAATAAAAAATAAATTGGTTGGTGCCCACCCACATTGATGAGGATGGATGCTCTTCACTCAATGCCTTGCTTCAAATTCCAGCCTCTTCCAGAGACACCCTCACAGACACCCCAGACATAGTGTTTTACCAGCTCTCCGGGCATCCCATAGCCTGGTGAAATTGACATATGAAATTAATCATCACAACCCCAGAGGTGCGAATTAGAACCGAGGGCTATCCTCTCCCTGCCAGACCCCTGGGCTAGAACTCCCAGGGCTGCTGGTCTTTCCAGAGAACTGTGCGTCTCCCAGCCCCCGGGCCCCGCTGCTTCCACCACCCCAAGTGACCCAGCAGTCCCCCTCTCCCTAACCCCAGATCCTCCCACTCTGCCCCCTGGGAGTCGTGGACCGTCATCTGCTAAATCTCCTCTGGTCCTCACTTCTCTTCACATTGCCGCCACCCATTCTGGGTCCACCAGATTCCAGGTCCTGCCCCCTAGAGGTTCTGATGCAGCGGGATTGAGGTGGGCCTGGGAACTCGCATTTCTAGCAAGTGCCCGGGTGATGCCGATGCTGCTGGCCCGGGGGCCACACTTTGAGAACCACTGCTCTAAACTAAAACCTGGCTGTTCCCTGAATCTCTCCTTACCAGCCACCTCCTTTCTCATCACACGCCAGGGCTGCAGGGAAGTAAATGTCTTCCTTATTCCTAATTGCTACTTCTGGAACAGACCACCTCTCCTCCCTTGTTCTGCAACCTCCTGCTCCTATGAAGTACATACCATAATACTCTACCCCTTCCTTCACTTAAGGGGTATTTTAGTACCTGCCTCTCTTTTTGTCTTCATTCATATTTTCCACCCTTGAATGCACAGACAAAATCTAAGGAGATGCACCATCCGTCGCCCTGGCTTCTCAGTGTCTCGACTTCCTCGTGTTCAGCTCTCTTTCTCTGCTCCACCTCCCAGTCCCCGTGCATGGTCACGCCGTGACGACAGCTTCTCCAGAATTTGAGCAGCATCTCATTCTCTAACCTCCCTCTCCTCAAGCTCCAGCTCACTCACTTTGTCATCCCCTGCTCCAAACAACAGGGCTGGACTGACCCCGCCTCTCCCCTCCTTCATCATTCCTCCCACCGGCACGTAGCTGCTCACCCGGCAGCGTTCCAGCCTCCCCTCACCCCTGCTCCCTGGCACACCTCCTCGTCTCCCCTCGTTGTTCTTACCTGACAACACCAGGTGTCTCCATCTGGAGACCACGGACATTGGGCAGGGTGATTCTCTGTTCCAGGGAGCCGCCCTGTGTACTGTAAGATGTTTAACCACATCCCTGCTCTCTACATACGAGATACCAGTCACACCCCTCCCCCACCTGGTTGCCACACCCCAAAAATGTCTCTGGACATTGCTGAATGTCCTCTGAGGGGCAAAATCACCCCGATCGAGAAACACTTTTCTGGAGTTTTGAGGTCTGACTGGCTATTACGGTGGATTTACCTACCTGATTTGTGCAAAGAGCTAAAGGGGTCCACACAGAGTGGTTCCCTCCTCGGGGCCTTCTGCCAGGGCCGCCCACCCTGCAACCCAAGAGCAGTGCAGGCGGTGGGGTGGGCCAGTGAGCAGCAAGTGTTAGATCTCTAGGTGGACTAGTCTGGCAGCCCTCAGACCTCCTTAGCTAGAAATGCCCCTCTTTTGTCTGACACTATGTCTTTGACTAACAAATAGTTCCTTTATTCTCTTTCAAGGTGGTGAAAAACAATTGGATTGTGAACCACTTGAATTCGGCATCAGGAGGTAAAGGCTATAGACACAGCTAAGCTTCTCGCAAGCTCATCTGACTAGGCAGATCACTGCTACCTCAAAATCGATTTTATCAGTTTTAAAATGAAAGGAACTGAAAACAAGTTTGGGGCCTGCCCTCTACAGTGTGCGACTAGCTCTGCTTTCAGCCTCCTTCCTTCCTCTGCCCGTTGGCAGATCGCATGAGCTCTCATTTCATCCACCAGCCCTTGTCTTCAAACCGTTTCGTCACCACCCCCGCATCCTGTCAAGACTGTCTCCAAGTCTGGCCAGCCAGGCTGCTGCCCTGAGGAGCTAACTAGCCTGTCTGCTTTTCCTGATGGGAGAAGAGCTCTGGTTCTAGATCATTCTGCTGTCCAATCTGGTAGCCACTAGCTGTATGTGGCTACTTAAATTTAAAACATTATAATTAAATAAAATTAAAACTTGAGTTTATTTTCTCTTTAAAAAAAATCTCTTATGAATAGGTTTTGGAAAGTTATATTTTTCTAGAATTATGTCCATATAGTACACATTTATTTCCTAATGAAAAATTGAAGTTTTTAACTGCACTAGTCAAATGCTGTAGCCATGCATGGCCGGGCGCTACTGACTGGTCAGTGCAGATATGGAAGGGTCGCATTAGCACAGGAAGGTCTCTGGGCACTGAGAGCCAAGTGTCTCAAATGCTTTGTTCTTAGAGACTTGGATATATCAGTCCGCTTTATTAGGCTGAGTGGTTTTGTGCATCTGCTATTTCTAATTTCTTTTCCTCCCACTCATACATCACTTAATATTGCATTATTCTTGAATCTTTAACTTGTATTTTTCAGCTTTATGGCATTACTGCTAAATTTAACCTACTGAGTAGGGACAGAGAGGGAAGGGGCTGAGCCCACACTTGTTCTCCAGCTGAGATGGCACAGGGCCCCTTCCTGCATGGCGGAAGAGGAAGAGGAGGGTTCCGAGGTGCCAGCCTTTTCTGGGGCTCCCTCGTGGTCCAGGCTGGAGCCCGGGCGATGCTATCCTAGCGCTCTCTTAGGCGTGTGGCTGGGGCAATGGTCTCTCTAAGTGCCTCTACTATGCCAGGTGCCTCCTCCATTGCAAACCTAAACAGAGAATGCCCCCTTTCCCAGATGCCAGACAGGCTGACAGGCTGTCTGCCACGACACTGGCTGTCTCCCACTCCTCTCTGATGTGGAGAGAAACTTTTTTGTTTTATTCTCAGAACCTGAATTTCCCATCTGTTAGGGAGAGGTGATAATACTCACAAGGTGACTGTGAGTAACTGAGGATGTTTATAGTGTTTCCAGGACAGAGTCCAGCTCTGAATGAACGCTCAGGACCAAGCCTTTTCTTCCCGAATCAAGGGTTCAGATGTTCACCCTGTGTGTGGTGGTGGCTTTTTCATGTGATGATTTTTCCTCCTTCCTTCCTGAGCTCCTTAAGAAAGAGGTGCATCTAGTGTGCTTCCGTGGGCTTCATATATGTAGAGCATTGCCTTTGGGCACATGTTTACTGACAGGCATACCACTGCATAGCTCAGTTCTGGCATCCACTGTGTCTTTATTGAGTAGGAAGGCTGACCAATAGACTCAGGACCATTGGGAGACAATTTTAATTTAACTAATATTTCATTTACATTTATTGCACAACTATGTGAGCAAGAAATATAGTGGGAGAAAGAGAGAAATATGGTTTCATCTCTGCCCACGGTGAGAATAAACTTTTAGCATGAAAATACTCTTTCATCTTGGTTTCTTAAGAATTGAATGTGGTTAGATTTTACAGAATCCTTCTGTGGGATGAAGAACTTGAGAAGGCTTGGGCCAGCAAGGGGACTTCTGGGGTCTGTTCCCAGACTGTGGTTTGACTGGGCGTCATCTGTGAGGTTTTCGGTGATCGTGCCATTGCTAGCCTTGGGTCTAAGTTGTAGTTGATAAAAGGCCTGCTATCGTTGCACTGGGCTTTCCTTGTAGCATAGAGTGTGGGGAGAATGCTGGGCCAGGAGTCAGAGTGATTAGGTCCATCCCATATCTACCATGTAGACATCAGAGCCTGGCCAGTCATTCAAGCTCTTGGGCTGCCATTTCTTCATTCAGGATGTGGGACACCAACCTTCTCCATTCCTGTCCAGGAGAAGAATCACATCAGGAAGTGGTTATGTTATGTATGCAAGTGCGACATAAACGTGCACAAACAATTCTTTCTTTGGGCAAGTAATATAACTTATTTCAGCTTCTACGTGCAAAGTGACAATGCTAATATTAACTTAACCCTAAATACCTACTTTTAAGAATATAGATACTATTTTTAGGAGAAAAGGAAAGAGAACCAACTCAATGACAATTAGTATGGAGTGAAGTCAGGTTTCTAACCCAGATGTGGCCAACATTAACATTTCAATCTCTACAAACAAGACCATCAACATTTGCCATCATCTGTCTTTTGCAGGCAGAAGAACTGATATTGGAAAATGGACCGACAACACTGGTCTGTGAGTTAGAACGACAATGCAGGGCTCCTAAGTAATGCTAGTCCTAACTTAGAATCACTTCACACCTTGAAACAGTCTAAGATTTGTCCTAGTTCAGAGCTTATTTTCCCAGATTCTTCAATTGAAGAATCTATTTATGAAGAATTTGTGGAAGGTACGGGCAGCTTGGATGAGGACACCTCTCTTCCTGAAGGCCTTAAGGACTGGAACAAAGAGCGGGAAAAGGAGAAAGAGGAGCCCCCGGGGGAGAAAGTCGCCAACTAGATCCAAGGAGAGGCTGTTTCTGCCTATCCTCTGTGGGTTCAGTTTGCACACACTTCCAGGCTTCCAGAAGAGTGAGAGCCAGCGCTAAGTTGGTTTTCGCCAACTACTGACCCAGCTGAAGTGATGGGGAGAGGAGTCCTTAACCCTCAGCTTCAGAGGTCCCAGAGGGATGACCAGGGACTTTGATGGCTCGAGGGAGGCTTGCACCATCCCACAGCCTCCCCAGGCTCCCAGATGGCAGCTGGAACAGTCAAGCCCAGCACCGCCGAGGCTGGTCCCTGTGGCACCGTCCCGAGGCCTGGCTGGATGCGTGCAGGGATAGTTCAGGGAGAGTGGACGCTCGACAGTGTGGGGGAAGGTATCTTTCTCTTTTTGTCACCCAGTCCTTACTACTGTTTCTCTTCAGTTTCCCTCTGCAAATGGGCTGTGAAATTAAATTGGAGTCTTGGAGTCTCGATAACAATATTTTAATTTGACTTAATATTTTAAAATTTGAATCAGATCACTTGTTGCTGTCTTAATGGAATGGGTTTCTACAGAGAGCTGTGACATATTTAAAAATATGAATGTATTATGTAAATATGGCTTCTTTACATCAAAAATAAAATGTGCCTACCTTCCTCATAATGATCATTTATTTGTGTGTGGTTTTGGAAATTAAGTCTGGCTGGCTAGTAGATCTACAAAAAATGTGCTTAGCCCATTTGCATAAAAATATGTAAATCAAAATAATAAGGAGTCTGACTAGTCAGATTGGGAGGGGTGGCAAAGATTAATGAAATCTATAGATGATGTTGCTTTGGGGAGATGGGTACCCCTCACAGGGACGGGTGAGAGTGGAAATGACTGTAACCTCTCTGGGGGGCAACCCGTGACATGTACTTATCTCCTTTTCCAATTCCAGACAGTTCTCAGGAGAGCATCCGACAAGACACAGAGCTGCCCGTGCAGGCTGCCCCTTAAGTACCTACTTTATAGCAGGAAATAGCATGAGCACCTACGGATGCAGGAGCAGGTGTTTGAGCACATCATTTTACAGGTAAGCCGTGGGTTACTATGACGCCCATGTTAATGGATATCTATATTTGGTAATGAGGAAAGCTTTTGAGTTGAAAATCAACACAAGACAGAGTAAAGATCATGTTTAATGTATATCTTTTATGAAAAATTTTGTCTGTAGACACCTACTGACACACATATGTGTAGAGAAATGTCTAGAAAGTTACTTGCTCACCAAATGATAATAATGGTTATTTCTGGACCAAGGACTTTCAAATGACTTTTATTTTTTTTTGTATGAGTTTATTTTTTAAATAATTTTTAAACAAATGCTTACTATATTATCCAATAAAGGAAATAAGTTTCATTCATTAAAAAAAGCAAATATACTTGGTAGTTTGTAGCATAAAGTAGACAGGACAGCTGTCTCCCAAAGACTATTTTGTAGTAAGTAAGTATTATTCAGGGTTCTTTGGAAAGACAGACCCAATAAGAGATTAGATAGACAGATAGAAAAATAGATGGACAGGTAGGTAGATATATAGATAAGAGGGCATTTTATAAGGGAAATTGGCTCACTGTTAGAGAGGCTGAGAAGTCCCACAATAGGCTGTTGGCAAGCTGGAGAACCAGTATACTGGTAGCTTGAGTGTCCAAGTTCAAAGGCCTGAGAACCCAGGGGGCCACTGTTGCAAGTCCTGGAGTCCAAAGGCTGTAGAATCCAGAGTCTGATGTCCAAGTGCAAGAGAAGAAGGGTGTCACAGCTCCAGGAGAGAGACAGAGCAATTTTGCCTTTCCTCTGCCTTCTTGTTCTATTTGGGTCCCTAGTTGATTAGATGGTGCCCCACATTGAGGGTAGCTCTGGCCCACTTAGTCCAGTGACTCACAAGCCAGTCTCCTGTGGGATCTTCCTTACAGACACACCCCAAAATAATGCTTTACTTGTTTTCTAGGTGTTCTTTAATCCAGTTGAATTGACACCTACAATTAACCATCACAGTACATATTAATAATGGATTTGGATTTAATAGACCTTTAGAGATGTTTGAAAATATGCAGCTGCTATTAACTGGATGTCTGTATTGCCCCAAATCTCTGTGTTGATTCCAAATCGCCAGTGTGGTGTTTGGAGGTGGGGCCTCTGGGAGGTAATTAGGTTTAGATGAGGTCATGTGGGTGGTGCTCCTGGGATGAGGTTAGTGCCCTTAAGAAAAGGGGAAGAGAGGTCAGAGTGGTTATTTCCATGCCTTGAGGGGACATGGCAAGAAGGCAACTGTTTGTAAACCAGGATGTGAGCCCTCAGCACGAATTCCACCATGTCAGCAACCTAGGCTCAGTCTTCCAGCCTCCAAAAATGTAACAAATAAATGCTGTTTTCCAAGCACCACATATACTCACCAGCAAACTGGTATTAACTGAGCAGCACCTACGTGGACACATAGATACTACAGTAATAAGGTATTGGGCAGGTGGGAGAGGGGAGGAGGGCAGGTATATACATACATAATGAGTGAGATGTGCACCATCTGGGGGATGGTCACGCTGGAAACTCAGACTTGTGGGGGGAGGGGGAGAAAGGGCATTTTTTGAAACCTTAAAATTTGTACCCCCATAATGTGCCAAAATAAAAAAATAAAAAATAAAAAAATAAAAAATAAAAAAAAAATAAATAAATGCTTTTTCGCCACCCAGTCTATGGCGTTTTGTTATGGCCACGACAGCAGCACAGGCTTCCTGTCCCAGGTCCCAGTCTGAATGATTAAAAGCCCATTTGGCTTGGAGGGCTGGGCTGGCCCAGAGATAACAGGAAGCCCTGTGGATTCTCCACCCAGGATCTCTGCAGTCAGTGTGGCTTTTTCTCTTAGCAGGGGCGTAGAGTTCAGAAACATTCTAGAGGGGAAAGATGTGTAGCTTTCTCCAGTCTGACCCTGACTCCTAAACTGTGTGGCTCCAGCCTCTGCTTCTTGTGAGGGAATGTCAGTAATAAGGTAATAAAATAATTGGATTCTTGTTCCAAATCACAAAATATCACCAGGACCCAGCAAGGCTGTGCAGCTCCAGTTTTATAGCAAAGCGTAAGTGGTTTCCCTATCTAAGGAAAAGCTCAGGATACCAAAAATGTTCATTTTATTTTCCATTGGAGAAATGGGCTGGAATTGGAAAATGTTTTCTTTGACACAATGTTATTTCCTTTAGTCATATGTATGTATATTATCTCCAAATTCTTAAAGAACCTTTCTCAGTTGCTTTTTTAGTATGGTCTGAATGGGAACAAATTATTGAATATTAGATTTCTACCTTCTGCTTACGACAGTAAAGATATCTGTCTCCCCTCACGTAATCCACGTTGGCATTTGCTCTCTGGGGCCAGCAGGAAGAAACACAGACCAGTGAGGTGGTGGTCTGCCTTCTCCGTCTTGAGGAGATAGGTAGAAGGTCATCCAAAATGTCAACTGTGACTAAGCATGCTTTGAGCCATAAATAACACCTTTTCCTCCACAGGCTCTTTCTTTTTTAAAAACACTTTACATGGAAAAGTTTTCTTATAAATCTAGTCACATCACTTCTCCCCAAAGAGCACTTGCTGTGAAGACTCCCTCTCTAGGAACTCTGTTTGAGTTCTGGGGTCCATGCATGAACTTGGGTGGGGAGAAAAAGCTACACCTCTTCTTTCACTTACCATAGAAATTTCGTGTATGCTTCCATTATGAACGTAGACAGCAAACCAAAGCAGTATTAGCAAAACCTGTGCTTTTTGTCATCCATGGAGGCCACAGGTATTTTCATATTACTGATTAACTGTTGTCACAGATATCTGAACTCATTCTTCACAAAAATCAATACTTAGAGATCATAGTCAGTGTTAGATCCACTGCTAGGTCTTTATTTTTTGGTTTGTTAAAGATCATTATTATTACATCACGATTTTTTTTTGAGACAGAGTCACCTGGGCTAGAGTGTTGTGGAGTCAGCTTAGGTCACAGCAACCTCAAACTCTTGGGCTCAAGCCATTCTCCTGCTTCAGCCTCCCTAATAGGTGGGACTACAGTCACATATCACCACACCAGGATAATCTTTTTCTATCTTTATTAGAGACCGGTCTCGCTCTTGCTCAGGCTGGTCTCGAACTCCTGACCTGGAGGGATCTTCCCACGTCGGCCTCCCTGTTGCTAGGATTACAGGCACGAGCCACCATGCCCAGCTGGTATCACAAAATTTTTAATGTTTTTGTAAGTGCATTTTTCTATAATCGCTTCTTTTGTAATCCTATGTTTTGCACATTTAAAAGCATTATTCTGAGAAGGAGTCTGTAAGGTTACCTACACTGTCAAGGGGTCTTTGACACAAAGGAGACTCAGGGCCGAGCTAGAGATCAGCCTAGAAAGCCCTATGGCCCCAGAGCAAAGACTCGTTTTATGGAGAGAGGTGTGCTTGCAGATTAGGTCCCCAGCAGGTATTTGCTGGTGAATGAACAGGACTGCGACCACTGCTTTCCTTAACATCCCTCCTTAATTAACATCCCACCAAAGGCTCTAATTTTCTCAGTTTTCCAAAGGTGCCCATCTTGCACGATTTCAGGAAGAGTCAAGCAGTTAAGAGCGTGAGATTTGTGGTTTGACAGATCTGGTTTTAGAAGTGGGCACTGCCAACTTCCAGCTTCATGGCAGGAGTCAATCAGCATAAATAATTTGCCAGACACAAAATAATGAAGGATGATTTACAGGTTGCCAGACAGGTAAGGATGCTTGTTTGTAATAGTTTCATATTTCTAAAAAGAATGTGGTAAATAGTTTACTTAAGCAACATTGATACATGAAGTGCATACAGCTTTAAAAGATTAAGGGGGACAGGGGGACCCACTTTCCTGAAGCATTTTCCTCCTGGGTTTCCCGGTGGAGAGCTTTTTAAACTGGGTTCCCCAGCATAGGAAACACACCAAGATGTCAGAGGCTTCCTTGAGTATAAGAATTGGCTGGGTTTCAAGTTTGGGTTAGTTTTGTGTGAAAACAAGCTGCATAAAATGTCATTTGAAAGAAGATTTTCTCTGCCAAAAGATAAAACAACAACAATTAAAAAAAACAAAAACAAAACCACTGCACACCGTCTGGGTGTTGAGCATGTTTGAAGCTCTGACTTGGGTAGGGCAAGGGCAATATATGCAACCTAAACATTTGTACCCCGTAATATGCTGAAATAAAAAAAAAAATTAAAAAAACAAAAACAAAACAAAATCACTGATGGGTGAACTTAATAGGAATGAAGAGGTTTAGACTTTCTCAGGAAAACATTTATTAAGTAATAGACCTTCCCTTCTTATTGTATTTTAGTGATTTAAATGCGTCTTTAACACATTAACTGCCATGTGAGTTATAATTAACTCACACTAGTTTTGAGCCCAGGGCCTGGTGAACCATGTGTGGCTCACACATCTTTTCACCTTGGTAGTAAAGAGAACCATTTTTCTAGTTGCATATAATTCATGCACAGAAAACAATAACAAATTTTCATTAAATTAGAAAGAATTGTTTTGTTTTTGAAGTTTTTATTCTATTTTCGAAATAAAACACCATACCCCCAAGGAAAAAAATTTCTAGTGTGGCAGTCAATGTGTTAATATCCCATCAATTGGCACTGAGTCATGAACTGGAATTGATTAGACACATGAAGAACTCTGGAAATTCCCCAAAATTCTGGAAACTATTTTCATGTATAAAAAACACTTTTTTATTTCGAAATAATCTTACACTTACAGAAAGTTGCAAGGATAATATGAGGACTTCCTGTACACCCTTCACCCAGATTCCACAAAACTTAACATTTTTCCTCCTTTTGCATGACCATTTTCTCTCTTTATGTATATATTTTTAATATTTATTTTGCAACCTTTGAGGCAAGTTGTAGACATGATACATAATTTTTTCTTTTTTATTCTTAAATATTCCAGATCATGTTTCCTCAACCTAAGAAAATACTCTTATTTAACCCAGTATATAATAAAAATCAGGAAATAAACATTGGGACAATATTATTTCTAATCTATAGACCTAATTCGTATTTTGCCAATTGACCAAAGAATGCCTTTTATAATAAAAGAAAATAAAAAAGAACAGTTCCTGATTCTATCAAGAAGCTTTAGTCTCCTTTAATCAGAAACAATTCCTCAGGTTTTTTTAATTTTCATTTTCTGTACAGGTCAGATGTTAATATTTTGTAGGGTAACCTTGAGCTTGGGTTTGTCTGATGTTTCCTCAGGGGTTCAGGTTGTCCATCACGGGCATGGGTGCGACTGAGGTTTGATTGTGTTTCTCAGGGCTTCGTGTCACTGAGGCACACAACTGATTCGCTCCCTCATAGGTGAGGTTCGCCCCCATCACGTGGCAGTGTCTGACGACTGTCTCCTCTTTTCTTTCTGTACTTAATCAATATCTCAGAAAGAGGCTCCTGGAGGCTTTGTAAATATGCTGTTTCTTACCAAAACTGCACCCATTGGTTTTAGAATCAACCGATGACCTTCAACTGAGTCAATTACTGCTCTGTTTTTCCCTATTGACCTCATGTTCCAAACAGGCACAGAATCCCTCCACCACCTCCTCACCACCACAGCGGCGACCACACCGGGCAGTCTCTGTTCCGTGACAGCCTTCCGAGCAGCGTCCCTGCTCCTCCCTCAACTCTCCACACTCTTTCTGAACCAGGAGCAGAGTGATCCCTGTTATGATGCTCAGGTGGCAGTGCCCCTCTGTTCTACCCTTAGTGGATCCCAGCCCTCACAACAGATGTCCCCTCTGTGAGGGACCCACCTCCTCCTCCTCACAATGGCTCCTCCTCACAATAGTTCCCTCTCCTCACCATGGCTCCCTCTCCTTACAATAGCTCTCTCTCCTCACCATGGCTGCCTCTTCTCACGTAAGCTCTGTCTCTCATCATGGCTCCCTCTCCTTACAATAGCTCTCTCTCCTCACCATGACTCCCTCTTCTCACATAAGCTCTGTCTCTCACCATGGCTCCCTCTCCTTGCAATAGCTCTCTCTCCTCACCATGGCTGCCTCTCCTTGCAATAGCTCTCTCTCCTCACCATGGCTGCCTCTCCTTGCAATAGCTCTCTCTCCTCACCATGGCTCCCTCTTCTCACAATGGCTCCTCTTCACCATGGCTCCCTCTCCTCACAATAGTTCCCTCTTTTTACCATGGCTCCATCTCCTCATAATGGCTACTCTTCACCATGAGTCTCTCTCCTTGCAAGAGTTCCCTCTCCTCGCCATGGCACCCTCTCCTTGCAATAGCTCTCTCTCCTCACCATGGCTCCCTCTTCTCACAATGGCTCCATCTCCTCACAATGTCGCCTCTTCACCATGGCTCCCTCTCTTCACAATAGTTCCCTTTTCCTTACCATGGCTCCATCTCCTCATAATGGCTCCTCTTCACCATGGCTCTCTCTCCTCACAATAGTTCCCTCTCCTCACCATGAGGAGGTGAGGCTCCCCATCTTCACAATGACTTCCTATCCTCACAATGGTTCTCTGTCCTCACAATGGCTCCCTCTCCTTCCAATCTCTCTCCTCACCGTGGCTCCCTCTTCTCACAATGGTTCCATCTCCTCACAGTGGCTCCTTCTCACCATGGCTCCCCCTGCTCCTCACAATGGCTCCCAATGGCTTTGAAGGTCCAAATGACCTGGCTCCTTTAAATTATCTTTCATATCATCTCTCCTACATCTGTCCTCTCTCCACTTGAACCCTGTTGAGCTGCCTGCCAGTGTCTGGCCATGCCTGACTGGCTCCTCCCCTTTTAGGGCCTTTGTGCTGGTGTTTTATCTGCCTGGGAAAATATTTCCCTCATGCTATCATTGCTGACCTCGTCCCCTTTTCAAGGCTTTATCAAATCCCATCTTCTCAACGAGCCCCACTTGACTCTACATGCCACGGTAAAAATAAACACGGAACTGTGCACATATTTTTTTCCTTCATATCATTTTCACCTCCCAAACTACCACAGCATTTGCTTATTAGGGTTGTTTTTATTTCCATCTCTCTCTCTCTAGATTGTAAGCTCCTTGACACCATAATATATGGCCATTTTTTAGCTTTTCTGAACCAGACATACCTGGACTAATGCCTGCCACATAGTAGTTGCTCAAAAAATATTTTTGGAATGAATGAATGGATAAAAGAATGTGTGTGTAGGGGCATTTTTTATACTGTAAAGTGGTTTTAAACTAATAATGTATTAAGGTATTCTTATAAATCTATTGGGTTTTCATTCTCCCTATATTCTCCAAAATTTCTTGTTCCTCTCACTCTAGTCCCTCTCTTTAGACAGCCCCTTCCCGTCCCGTAGTTTTAAATACATGCTTTAGCCCAGGGCCTCCCACATCTGTGTTCAGGGTGTGCTCCAGGTCGCAAGCCCCTTCATTCCCCGGCCTCTCGGGCTTTCCCTCTGCCGTGCCACCTGCCGCTGGTGTCTGCTCGGCTGATCTCAGTCTTCAGCACCCGTGTTTCAAATCCACGCTTCACTCTGAGCTTTTCACTGAGTTATTATCACACCTATACTGCGATGGCCACGTACAGAGCAGGAGGTCATCCAAACTCTCTTCTCTCCTCATCAGACCCTAGTTCCTAGGGATCTTCCTCTACCCTGGATGTAGAAACAAAGGAAGCTGCCATCATCACCCCATGGCCTGGAGAGGCAAGAAGAGAGCTGGTCGTGGAGCCTAGAGACAGAGCTGCGTGGAGAGGGGCCTAAGGATTGGGCCCAGGTCAAGGCAAACTCACAGGAGGTAGCTGGGGAGCAAAGACACCCCACCCTCGCTCCAGCCTACACGGGCACCCGGGGCTGAACACACCGTGTTGCCACTGCCCACCTTTGAGCAGGACGTTCCTCTACCTGGAATTGCTCTTTGCTCGTGGTCTTCCTGACAAATTCTTACGTTTCCCATCTCAGTGGAGCAGCAGCCACTCCCTGAGGAATCCTTCCTTGACTTCCTTTACTAATCAGTCTCACCTCCTCTGAGCAGACCTTAGACAGGCACTTGCTGAATTGACACCATATAATATTTAAGACACGTTTGTGGCTGGCAGACCCTAAGATCTCAATTATGTCTACCTCCTGGCATTTGTGTCCTTCAGTAATTTTCTCCTTTCAAGCGTGGTGAGGAGAACTGCGACTTGAGTCCAACCAGTGAGATGCAACGCCAGTGATGGGCTGTCACTTCTGCGAGGAGATGGCAGGTGGCGGTGACTTCGCTCCTGCTCACAGACTCTCCCTATTGCACGCTTCAGTGAAGCCAGCTGGGAGCCCGCCAGGAAGGGAGGGAGGGCGGCCTCCAGCCAACAGCCAGCAGGACCTGAGGACCTCAGCCCGATCTTGAGGAACTGAATTCCTCCGGCAAGCCCCTGGGCTTGCAGACAGACCCTTTCCTGGCTGTGCCCTCAGGTGACACACAGCCCTGCCTCATGCCTCATATGAGGTGTGGGAGAGACTCTAAAACACAGGACCCCGTTCCGCCATGTCTGGATTTCTGATCCACGAAACTGTAAGATGATGAATGTGTGTTGTTTTACAGCACTGAGTTTGTGGTAATTTGTTCTACAGAGATAGATAACTAACCCAAATATCTTTTCTTTTTTTTTCCACTCAGAAGTTAATGTACCATGCACTGTGTGACTGTCGTTACACTAAGTTCACTTAGTCTCTCGAAGGCCCGCCATGTCTGGTAGATGGTATCGTCACCGCGTTACAGATGGCGGAAACCGAAGATTCGAAGGCTAAGTCATTTCCTAAGGCCAAGCCGCTGGCGAGCAGCTGGGGCAAGGTTTGAGGCTGACTCCAGTCACGTCTCAGCCTCTGCCACAGCGCGCTGCCTTCTCTGCGGCCCCGTGTCCCCCGTGGCCGTTCTTCCCTTCTGGGCTGCGGCTGCTCGGGGCACAGCGGTGGCCATTTCTCACTTCGCTCTTGTGCAAGGAGGCACTCTGGCTGGCACACATTCTCTCCCCAGTAAATGTTTCCTGAGTAGACGTAGTCGTGTTTCATAAAAGCCTTTTTCTCAGGCCTGTGCACGAAAGGCGGACGGCTGGGTTCCTCTCCCCTGCAAGCGGGGCGCATTCTTGTCTCTGGAGGGGAGACCCATTCTAACTGGCGCGGGGTGTAGCACTGCTAGTTGTGTGGGTTTACGTGTTGACTCGGGACATGGAAAGACAAGGAAGGCCTGCAAGGTCTCATTTTGAGGCCCTCTGTCACTCTGTAAGGAGAATTCTGAGCCGGCACCGAGGCCTGTGGAGAAGGAGAGCTACCCTGGATCAGAGATGTCTACAGGGGCTGGGGAGGAGAACAGTGCACAGCCTCACACATGCCAGTCTCCTCTCTCTGGGAGCTGCGAGTTGGTTCTCACCTTCCTGCCTAACACACAAAGAACTAGAGGTGATACAGCACTTGCATCTGTCTCTTCAGCCAAAGTTAAAATCAAAGAGCGCGGGCCTGCTGCGTACAGAGTTCTCAGGAGAGAGGGAAATCAGCATAAGGTCAGGGCTGAGGAATTGGAAGGAAGTTAAAACTTGGTTTGGCTCTGTAATGCCAAGATCTGCCAACGAGCAATAAGCAAATACTTCTTTATTAAAAAGCAAATGCTCAATTTAATATGCTGAACTCTTATGCCTAGCTTGTTTTCACAATATCTGTAAATCACTTTAATTTCATAACCGTAAATATCTTTCCAACCTCGCTTCTCAGATCAAGCACTTAATTTTGCCACAAAGTATCAGATAACACTGAGAGGCTGCCATTGTGCTTAGAGAAACGATTCCACGCAGGCAACCCGCCCTGTTCCTTCAAACTTCCCCCATCCTTTCTCCCTCAAATATGTTAAAAGCATATTTCTAGCTAATGGAAACACACCCACCATCAGTTGTTTCTGGAGGTGGGTAGAAGTGTTGAGAAGAAGGTGGAGCCCTTGTGTTTATAAGTACCTTCAAATGCAATATGCTTTCCCAAATGCTAATGGTGGCTCCAATATATGCATATGTACGTGTATATACACACACACCTATATATATATATACAGACACATATATACATATATGCATATATATAGTAGTTAGCTGAAAATAAAATTGTGTTTTTGATGTGGAAAAATCTCTCCTTCGGTTATTTCTGCCTCAGTAATATCAGCACATTTAAAAAGGTTTGTGCAGATCACATTAACAAAGATTCTAATATTCTGAAACATTTTACTACTTTAACAATGGATTAATTCATTCGTATGCAGAGCTACACCTTACGGTTGGCAGAAAACTGGCCTTTCTCTGTGAGTAACGATTTATTCTCTTGGAAAGGTCCTTGACTAACAGAAAAGGTCACCAACTGGAAGGTTTTTTATTGCTCAAATCATAATCACCTTTGCTCCCAGGACCTCTTAGAATGTGTATCTGGAGAAAACAAAGGGAGGTGGGAATCTTGTCATTCTCCCACGCAGATAGGAGGAGGTGCAGAGGGATGGCAGCAGGAGTGACAGGTATCTACGCACGTCCTCCCATTCACATCACCTCACAGTGTGCAGACCAGGGGCTACGGATACCAGCTGTACGTGTTTGAGATTCCTGGTCTGAAGGTCATCTCTATTCACTAAGCCTGCTTCCCTGTGGGAAAAGCCAGAAATGCGGGGGAATTAATGTCCTTAGGTTAAGCCCCCAGTCAATAACTGAGGGAAGCTGGTAAATAAATATCCTAGCTTCCTTGTACCCAGCATAGGAAAACTCTCAGGTGTGTTCTACCTATTCTTCCAGATGGTTCCTTCCAGGAATCTGAGTTCCAGTTGCTTACAGCAGTAACTTGCTCACTAACATACTTTTGCTGACTTCTTCCCAAATTCACTCACTCACTCCCTTACTGGTGTTTCCTGGAGTCACCTCCCAAACCAACCGCTCGCTCTTGAGACCTTGTCTCAGGGTTAACTTTGGCAGGAACACACTTAGAGACAGGAAGGAAACCTGCAGTTAGAGTGAATGTCCCAACCAATGCTTAACCAAGGCAGAGAAACAAAGCAGGCAGAACGGGGCATACTTCATTCTGAATTCTCATAGCCAGTGCCCGAGGAACTGCAGACAGTGGAGAGTTACGAAGCCTCTTCTCAGTATTTCACCCGCAGGCAGTCTGACTAGGATATGTCTAGACTTTTTCTGGGTGATCTTAAAAAAAAAAATTGACCTCTTACATAAGTTCTATATAAGAGCAGAGGGAGATATAAAACCTATAAAAGAGCTGCTCTCCCAAAGTGAGAAAAATGTAAATAATAAAATGGACCCACTGGGCTAGATTTCTGTTGACATCTTTTGAGATATTACTGAGAGCAAGGAGTTTTCTGACAAACAGAAATCAACAGAAATTTTAAAGTGCCCAGGAATGTAAGAAAGCACTGTGTATTATGAAGCTCC